TCTTGAGAGTTTTTCAATCCAAAAGTTTCAATTTTTAGAGACTTCGCTAGATAGAAGAACAAATTAGAGAACCTTCTCAATGAACTCTTGCACATGATTCTGTCTTATATAATCCGCTGCCGGGCTTCGAACCCGGAACATGAGGACTCAAAAACACATGGTTTAACCTGTGTTCTACAGCAGAGCTTCTACTAAGTGTTGGATCATTGTTTTATATATCTACTTGTAAACTTTAAAGGATGAATTTGATGAATCAAAATCAAATCAATGAAATAACAACAAAAAAGAGACATCATTAGGAAGCAATACATAGCAACCAAAACTTGAGTCTCCTATACATCAGAAATACATAATGTATCAGAACCAAAGATTAGATACTTAGTTATAACTCTCTCTCTATTTTCTCGTCTTCCTCATATTAAGCTTCCCAAGCCATATCCAACAAGGTGTGATGTTTCAATTTTAAAGAGCAGAACAACTTTAGGCTCAGAGTCTCCATCTCTATAATTAGAGAGCTAGGCAGCTTCAAGCTCATGATACCTCATGAAGATGGTGAAGGAGCTTAGTAATGCATCATCGCTTGTCTGGTCTCATGAGATTCTACGAGAAGTCCGCTCTGTTCATAGTCATCTTCTTCTTCCCAAACCCAATATTCCTAAGCCAACTCCAACGACTTGTATGCTTCTTGCTGTTGATGTTTTCAACTTGAGCTTCTTCTTCATCTGTGTGGTGGTTGCTATTGCCTCCAATATTGTAAGACTCCACTTCGCTGCTATTATTATTACCCTCACCTTCCTCCCTCAAGATCTGTACACCGCACGCAATAATCTTGTCATCGTTTTCCCTGCAGCTGAATTCAAACAGAATCTCATTCGTAGACACATCCAATTCATGGAATTTGTCTGTTTGAAACAAGTCCCCACGAAATATCAAGAGATGTTCCGTCAGAAACTGAGGAGACAACCCTGAAATCCAGTACTCAACCTCGTTTAGGAGGAGACCTTCTTTGCTTCTTAGACGACAAGTTACATCAAAAAGCGGATATCCTTTAACTGGCGAAAGCAGAAGGCAAGCCTTGAATCTTGAGGATTCTGAGAAAGTTTCCTCACGATCTAAACCGATAGTGATGGTTATGGAGTTTCCTGTATTTTTATGAGTGAAGTCTATAGGGATTTCTTTACCCGGTAAACATACATAATTGTAACACCATTGATGTATGATTCTTCTTCGTGCTTCTTCGTCCAATTTCACGCAGTTGCGGTAGTTAAAACTTGCACACGGATTACTGAAAGAGTGTAATACGGTCTTCAGAGATCTACAATCAGTTGCATCAAGACACCAAAGGGAAGGCGGAAGACCGTGCAGTGACACGAGTTTTCTACAGTTTTGGATGATAAGACTTCGTAGCCAAGGAAGACGAATGACGCAATCTGGAATAGTCTTTATATCACTGTTTCTTAGGTCTAGCTTCCTTATACTTTTCGGGACATGCCTTAATTCGCCGAGGTTTCTGCTGCCTATATGAAGCCATGTAAGACGAGACCAATGCATCTCGATTGATAGAGGAACTTCTTTAATCTTTGTGTTTCTTACATCGAGATGGTTGATGTTCCTAGAAATATCAGGAAAACTTCTTAATCGTGAGCAATTACTCATGTCCACTTCTTCAAGAGATGCTAAGTTGATGTTGGTAGGAATAACTCGTAGCTTTTGGCACTCCTTCATTGTCAACTTTTTCAGTTTGTGTAGATTCAAAATAGAGGAGGGAAGCTCCACCAAACTTTTGCAGAATACAAGTCTCAGAGTCTCGAGATTAGAAGCCTTCGAAAGATTTGGGATTGCTTTCAACTTCAAGGAATAGCTCAAATCTACCTTCTTGAGGTTTACAAGCGGCTACACAACAAATGAAAAATTATCATATTAAGGTTGAATCATTAGAAATATATAGAGATCTATCAAACACCAACCTGGATTCCTCCCCATAGCTCCTCGAGCTTGCTGAATTGCATCTTGATCTCGACAAGATGTTCCGGCCAAAATGTTGGAGGAAGACGTTTTCCCGGGTATGAATTCCAATCTAGTAACCTTAGACGAGGTAGATATCCCATGTCCTCTAACAAGTTAACTTTCTGATTACACATTCCTTCAAAGGCTCGCCTACTTATAGAGAACTCATTGATTGTGGACATATCAAATGATATACCTATGACAGATCCAGTACCCTAAAAGTTTTCCAAAAAAAATGCACAGAAGAAATTGTCATGACAATATGTAAGATTTATTGAGCAATGTCTCAAGATAATATATATGTAAGAACTTACAGTTTCATTTGTTAGCACATCACAGATCTCTTGGGCCTCTACTAAAAACTGGCGCCTCCCAGGTTCATGAGACTGTTGAAGAACTATCTGTCTACCCAATTGTTGTAGTAAACAGTGCATCACTATACGCCCATTGGTAGATATATGCACGAGACATTTATCACCTAGGCTCTTCAACCCATTTCTGACATTGAGGTTACTGTTTGCAAGTAGAAGTGTCGTGTGATCGACATCTTCATTGTTGAAGAAGCATGCAATGTGAAGGAACAGATATTGCTCTTTATCATACAATCTGTCATATCCCACTCTTAATACGTTCTCAATGTCTCTATCTAGACCAAGTAATGGAAGTTCCCACCCGTCCTTGCTCTCTCCACGTAAAGATGAACCCACAACACAAAGTCCCAAGGGAAGATTACCGCAAAACTCTACCGCATTATTTGCAAGTTCTTCAAAACCTTCCTGTGGAGAACTTTGTTTGAAAGCAGATAGACATAAGATCTCAAGAGCTTCTTCTTTGGATGGAAAATCAACAGGGTAGATATCGTTAATCCCATGTGCCCTCAAAATCTTTTTATCTTTCGTGCTAACGATGATCCGACTTCCAGGACCAAACCAACAAGGTTTGTTAGCCAGGGTCTCTAACTGCTTTAGATCATCTACATCATCAAGAATGATAAGCACTCTTTGATCATGTAGCCGTTCCTTTATTGCACCTAAATGGTCTACCCTCGTGTCCCTTTGATTCAAAATCTTGGACAGAAATTGGCTTTGTAAACACAATTGCGAATCATAGTCATCAACACCCATTATGATCTTATAATTTCCCTTGAGGTTCCCCATAAAACATCGAAGTTGAAAATCGCTAGAGAGTTGATTGAATAAAGCTCTAGCAATGGTAGTCTTACCAATTCCCGGGGGACCCCAAATTCCAATCATTTTCACTTCTTTGCACTCAAGGCATAACAAAGATTTCAATTTTCTCAAATGAGATTCCATCCCTACCATCCCCTCAAAATCCCTTGATGGTGTGACATTCAGTTTGTTCAAAACATCTGCAACAATCTTCTGGATCATCTTCGCCTCATCATCCCTGCAAAAGAAACAAAATCTTGTTGGGTGGAATTTTAAGTTTCTTTCCATGTCAAATTAATGAATCTAGTTGCTCCAAAAAGCAAACAAAATCTTGTTGGTGGGTCGAAAATTGGAGAAATTGTACCACTGAAGCATTGATTAAGAAAGAAGATAAAAGAAGCAATCTAAAATCATGAACC